AAAATGATAGAATTATTTTAATTATTTTTTTTTTTCGAAAATAAATATTTAAGATTTTAAAGTTTAATTAGAATTGTTCATTGAATAAAAATCTTTAAGTACACTGATTTTGGTGAGTAGCAGAAAGATTGTTATTTAATTGAATTGCTCTGCCCACCAAATGATTTTCTAGGCACTCAAAATTCGTTTGTTTTTCTTCATTTATACGATGAGTATGACATGTCCCTGTTATAGCCTATTAATCTTCCTTATGTAAATAGATAATAGATAAAAAAAAACATCCAGCAGAAATTGACTTATTGTATTAAGAACTGTTCTTCTATCATTTATCAATCTAATGAATACTTTACAAGATTGAATATACTGCTTTTATGATAGTTCTCAATCTATAGAAATCTATGTTAGATTAAGAAGCAAATTAAGAAATTTGATTTAAAAAACAAAATATTTAAGATAAAATTATTCGATATTTATCGACCTTCGTAGAGTTTAAGTGGTAAAATAAGTATTTCAAAACATATTCGATTCACTTACATCATCAGCCATTAATGGTGATTCATCGATGTCTAATTCTTCTGAGCTATTCTATAATTAAAAAAAAAATATTGTGAACATAGATTAAAATTTCAAACTTACACTGAATATCATTCTTGATTCAAGATAAATAGCTAAATCTTTATGACCATTTTTTTCAGCTGAAAGAAAAACAAAACAGCATTTGAAACATATTACTTCGACTCTATATATATCTTGAATTTGATCTTACCAAGTTCACATGGAGTTAGTTTTTCACGATTCTCAACATAAAGTGCAGCACCAGCATTTAAAAGACTCTATAAAAAATAATAATTTTAAAATGAAAATTTCTCATTTTTATATGCAAAAAAATTTACCTCAACACATGATTTAAGTCCATTTTTGGCTGCATAATGTAAGGCTGTATTATCATCCTAAATAAATAACAAAGAAAATAAAACTAATAAATAGAATCAAATATATAGAAATGTTATTAATTACAGAATCTTTAGCATCAATATCAATAGTTTCATTTGTGTGTTTATCTTTCCATTTTAATAATAATGTAAGACATTCATTTCGACGAACTTCATTACCAGCTTTTAATAGACAATGTAAAGATGTTTGATTTAAACGATTGCGTTTGTTTGCATTACCGTTATGATCATGAAGTAAATGCCTATAAAATAAAGTTTATTTTCAATTAATTTTTTGTTTCTTTTAGATTAGAAAATAAAAAAACGGAGTTTTATTCTTGACATTTAATAATTAATAATCTGTCATTAGAAAAACTTAATCATCGATTCTATAAAGAACAAATTACGAAAATAAATTATCTTTCACGTGCGATAAAACTTCTGTTTTAAGTGTGCTTTGATTACATCTTTCTTACAATGTCCCTTTAGACAATATAATTTGACCTTGGATAATGTTTCATAAATATTATTTGTGAATTGAAATGAATAGAATTTAATAGAATCATCAAATATTTCTTTGTAATCGTATCTTCAATATTGTATGACTATGTATATAAATGCTTTGTTTCCTTTTAATGAGAGGCTTAGTCGTTAGATTATTTAATAGATACACCTTTCATTCCAAACAAAAAAAAAAATCTAAGTTTTGAATCAAAGACATGCTATGTAAAATGTTCGTTGCTGTTTTATTTTTATTTCAATTGACCATTGAAGTATTAAGTCAAGGTGTATTTTCGCCTTCAACATTCACGGAAAATAGTTGTTCTGACAATAATAAATGGACGATTTGGTTTAATTCAGGTAATCCAAGTTCAACAGTTGGTGAATTTGAAGTGACAAATCATATTCAACGATTATTTCCTTCCTATATGTGTCCAGTACCAATTGCTATTGAAGTAATTATATTCTATTTTTATTTTTTTTTCTATTATCAATAATAAAAAACAAATAATAAAAATAATATTTCAGGCTCGTACAATAAAAGATGAAAACCCTGGACGAACTGGTGATATATTTCGATTAGCACCAAAAGATGGATTCTTATGTTTAAATCAACATGTTAATGGTTTTAAACAAAAAACATGCTCTGATTACAAAGTACGTTATTGTTGTCCATCAAGAACAGTTGGACAAACTACAACAACGACAACATTTCAAACACCAGTTGTTGCTAGTAATACTTGTGGTCGTCAACCTATAACACCGTCAAATCTACGTATTGTTGGTGGTGTTGAAGCTATTCCAAATTCATGGCCATGGCTTGTTTCTTTAAGAGTACGTGATCATTTTTGTGGTGGTACTCTCATTGATACACAACATGTTCTTACAGCTGCACATTGTTTAACTGGTGCAAATGCTAATATTGTTCGTGTAGTTGCTGGTTTACACCAACGATTAAATACAAATACAGGACGTACACAAATTAAGGGTGTATCACGTATATTTTTGCATGAACAATATAATTCAAGAACATTAGCTAATGATATTGCTGTTATTCGTCTTTCTCAACCAGTTCAATTAAATAATTATGTGAGTGTAATTTGTTTACCAGGACCTGATCCACAAGAATCAGCAGCAATAACCGTAGTTGGATGGGGATCAACATATTATGGTAGTCCATTACCGAGTAATCTTCGACAAGTTACAATGAGAGTAACAAATGCACTAGCAAAAGCGTCATATCCTGCTTATTTCAATGTTCAACGACAAATTGGTGCTGGTATGCCGTATGTTGGTGGTAAAGATAGTTGTCAAGGTGATAGTGGTGGTCCTTTAATGTATAATAGTAATGGAAAATGGCATCTATCAGGTGTTGTTAGCTTTGGTCATGAATGTGCACGTGGAAATTATCCAGGTGTTTATACACGTACAAGTGCTTATCTTAACTGGATTTATAATAAAATTAGTGCGAAGTAAAAGAACAGAAAATAAATAAATGAAAAAAAAAACAGATAAAAAGAAAATAACAGTAATTCATGACAATTTTAATCTATTATGACTGTTTTTTTTTCGATTACTAGTAAATATCATATATAGACGTGGGTTACTTTTAAATGTTTTTGTTTGAAAATAAAAGTCAATGAATATATTAACACTCATTCGATAACTACTCTAATCAGTTAAATAAGAAATCATGTCATCGATAATTATTGTATATTTTGTTTTTACTATTGGATTTTTTCAATGTATTCATGGAATGATAATTGGTGAATGTAAACCACCAAATGAATGGAAAACATGGTTAAATGTTCGTCATCCAACAGCATTTGGTTTGTTTCTGGAGCAATTATATTTATGTTAGTTATTTAATTTTTATTTGTTATTTATAGGTGAATTTGAACTAGTTTCACATTATCAAAACATTTTTGCTGGTCAATCTTTTGTATGTTCGAAACCAACAGGATTAGAAGTTAAAACAGTTGATAATCGTGAACCATCACAAACAGGAGATACATTTCGTTTTACATTAACTGAAGGTTTTCTTTGTCTTAATCAAGTAATTGTTCCAAAAAAGAAAACTTGTACTGATTATAAACTTAAATTTTGTTGTCCAGCACAATAAAAAGAAAATGATCATTGTACTTGTTTTGCTTTATGTTTATGTAGAATAAAACAATATATATTTATCGTTGATTCAATCTCATAATGAATATATTCAATAAATTAATATTACGACATATGATATAAGAACGAATACATGATTTAAAAAAAGACAAGATAGAAAGAGACATTAACTAACATATAACAGAGAGGATATAAAGCATTATCTGTTATAAATGATATGTTGTTGATAGAAGCATAGACACGTATTCATCTGATAGTATGAATGATAGCGAAAGAAATGAATGACGTTCTTTTAACAACTGACACTAACAATATTCATTTAACGATGGTAAAATGTATATGATCTTTTCGAGAAGTTTTCTATGTTATCTAATACCATGGAACAATGTTTCACAACTAACAGTACATCATTACCTTTAACTGCTAATAGTGAAGGTTCTTTTACATATCATTATGCTATATGGCCTTATATTTGTTTATTTACTATAATTATTGTAGTTTGGGGTTTTATTTATCTTTTAAATTTTTTTGTACTTCGATGTCAAACAAAAAAACAACGACATAGTTGTCTTTCTTTAAATACAACTCAAGGTAATCATATTATTGGTACTGTTCTCAATACATATGAAACTTCAACAAAGAGATTATCACAAAATGTATAATTGTGTTAATAATATTATAATGATTCTTTGTTTCTTTTAAGTGTGAAAAAAAAAAAACGAAGAAGAAATCATATGTGACACAAAATGACACAAATGTTAATAACTGTGTCAAAATAAAAATAGCTAAATGTTTATCCATCATTATCTTTTCTTTTTTTGTAATAGTTATTGTATCTCTTTTCTTTTTCGTTTTTTCATAATGATAAAATAAAGAGCATGAATAACAAATAAATTTAGACATAGGATATATCAAAACTATTTGACATCTCTACATACATATTACAAAGTAAATGCTTTTATTCTAAGAATTAATGATACATATGTACTAATACTATGCATATATGCAATTATTGACATATAAATTAACGTTTTTGTCTCATTCATTTGTTTGTTGCTATTTAAAAATGAAATTTGACAAAACCGGAAAATGCTTGTCTTATAATTGTAGGAAATTTTTCATTTCTTTCAACTATATGCAATCTTCAATTTTTACCATTTATTGTACGTCTAATTGACTTTGACCTTACATGTTCTCACTAGGATTTAACCCACACTAGCTTATTTTAAATTTTAAAGGATATAGGTTAATTTTTTTGTCCTTCCCATACTCTAATCAAATATTCCCTGTAGCAAAATCATGAATAATCCTGATGAATTTTAAATAAAGGCAAAAACTATTAGAATAACTATATTTTAATAACAATTGCAGTAAAATTGAAAAGGGCTTAAGTTGAAAATACCATTAGAGTTTTATATTTTATTGGAAATATTTGAGAACATTTTAAATTCCAAACCATGATTTTATATGTAAACCAAAATTAATAAGATTATTAAAATTAAAATATTGAGTTACACTAGATAGATAGAATAAACTAACATAAGCTACGAAGTTCGGAAAAATTCAATTATATCCCATCTAAACCACGGACTCTAACAATAAGATAAAGATATCTTAGTATGAAGAATGTCTTCTAAATGATACAGAGAGTAACAAAATTAAAACGATATATATCTAAGGTATCAGTATAGCTATATCAAAACTGACTGCAGTTGGACGGTGAGATTATGTAGAAATGTTTCTGCTGAGTTAGTACACTGTCTTTGTTCAAGCAAGATTTACCATTGTTTTTGTAATCAATAAATACAATAATATACTATTGAGTTTTTCCCTCGATGTATACAGAATTTTCATTTAGAATTAAAAATTTTTTCAAAAATTTCTAATAAAATACAACGGTTCAATACAGTGGCGTAGCCAGGAATTTTTGAATCATGGGAAATTCATCAGCCGAACTATTTTGAGTTACGGACAGCTAAGGACAACCGTTATGATTTCAAAAATATCTATGGGCAATAACTGTTCCAGCACCGCATAGCTCAATAAATCCACGGTCAATAACTTTTGCAGTTATGGGCAATTGCCCAATGGCCCTATCCCTGACTATGCCACTGGTTCAATAATACATTTAATATAAGTTCTTTTCAATTTTCATGGAAATAAAATTATTGTAACATTTTTTTTCTTAATCTAAAATGGCTTAGGGTCATTAACAATTTACCTTTGGATATATTTGACTACAGTACGGAAAGAACAAAAAAACATGCTCTAGAAATTATTGTATGCTTTTAAGGTTCTAAATAAACTAGTTTCAATAAAATTTTAGAGAGAATTTGAATGGTTATTATCAATTGGAATTAGAATAAAATGTGAAAATTTAAAAATTACATACACTTGAGAGAAATGAAAAATTTTACTTCAACAAAAATTTTCTAATAATCATAGGACAAGATTTTCCATGTTTCTCGAATTTTATCTTTAAATAGCAAGAGAGAAATACACTAATTTAATTGCCAGTAGTTACATATATCCATAGTATTAGTACATTAGTATTGCTAATTCTTAGAATAAAAGCGTTTGTTTTGCAGTCTATAGTCACGTGTATTCTTTAACTTAGATATAATCATGCATATAATATATAATTGTGTTTCATTGTGAGAAAAACAAACAAAAAATGTACTTCACCTGAGAAATGTTTTCATAGCAAAATGACTTGCATAATGTACAAATGTATCACCATCTTCATTTAATACTAGATTAGGATCAATATGGCGTCGAATATCGGAACGAGAACGATAAACTTGTAAAACTTGTATTTCATCACCACGTATCATAGACCGCTTTAACATTGATTTACTTGAACCCATGTTTTGGAAAAGAAAAAGAATTCAATCTGATCACTCGGAAGTATAATAATAAATAATGAATTATTCCAATAATATAAGATGGGAAACAGAAACTGAAAAGAAAATAAGATGACAAACAGAATTTACGACGTCAAACATTAAGGATTGGCTAGTTGTTTCTCTAGATTTCATAGAAGAGGTCGCTGTAAATTGCTAAAGACAAGATATTTAATGAGTCATTCGTTGAATTATTATCATTAATTGTTTATTGTTTTATTTTTCAGAACAAATGTCAACAACATCATCTCTTTTGCTTCTTGATGATGAGCGAAAAGCTCAATTGGATGTATTAAATAAAATTGATGAGTCTGGTGAGAATTCACTTACATAAGTTTCTTTTTAAAATTCAGTTTTTTTTATATGTCGACAAAATTTTTCAATTAAACGAATGTTATATGAAAATAATAAAACATTCGATTTTATTGTTTTGCATTTTGAATATAATCATTGAATGAACTTCGATTTGACTGATTCAGTTGAATTTTTCTTATGGAAAATAAAAATGTCTATGAGCTTATAAAATTACCAAAGACTTTAAAATGTCAGTAAAATTGTTTCGTGATCTATAAGTAACAGCGATAAATCGCATGCCTACGTGTAAAACATGCTATATAGTAAATTCTTTTACGATGATAAAAGACTTCGAACAAATACTTAAAATGAAATGTTGATTTATTTTAGCTGCTGTTGATATCTGTCATGCTGCTTTGGGTTATTTATCAACAGGATTGAATGCAAAATCAATCACTAATGCAGCAAGTCAGTTATTTTATGATAAATTTATCAACAAAACATAACAATATTTTTTCTAACTTTTTTCAGATCATCTTCAATTAGATGTTGAAATTGTTCGAACAACAATTGATAGTCTTTTATGGTTATATACTGAATGTGCTAAAGCAAAAGTAAATATTTTAACATTTTATTCTTCTTATTACATTCTTATTTAGATTTCAACTGATGCGCTTGATGAATCATTAAAATTACTTGGTTATAGTAATCAAATTCGACAAAGTTTTATTGAATGTTATCAATCAAAAGCTCATCAATTACAAACAACACTTGCTACTGATCTTGCTCTTTCATTACCACAGTATAAAAATCTGTATTGGCGCTTTGATGTACAAGTATGTTTCTTGTTATTTATTTAAATTATTTATTTTTAATGAAAAAAAAAAATATGTTTAGATTGCTACAAGAAGTATGCGTAGCCGAAAACAATTTGATCCTTTTTTTGTTCTTAAATTAACATTAATTAATGGTAAAAATGGTGAAGAAAAGGTTCATATACTTCAAGTTGATCCATTAACACTTGTACACATAGTTGAACAACTTGAATTGGCAATGAATGAATTAAGAAATAATCATGCTCGAAGAATTATGCATACATTTCGATGAAAACTGATTCATCACCATATGTGTCTGTGATGATCATTATAGTGCAATAAACTTTAGATTATTTTTTTTTCAAATGTAATTTCTATGCTTTGTGTAAGATCGATAATTTATAGACAGAAAATAAACCTACGCGATCATATAAAACTTAATATATACTGATGAATATATTCATATTGAATTGAACGACATTGCCTACACAAAATTAACCTTTGTTTGACTCATTTATCGAAATAATTAATAAGAGAATCAGAATGATGATCATGAGAATGTGCAACATCAACATTTTGATCATGTAAAAAGAAGAAAGCAAAGATGACGTTTATTGAAAGATCAACAGAAATATATCGATGAGTGTGTGGGTGTAGTCGTTAGTCTTTTCTTCATTTTCATCCATACTGACATCCTTAATGCTCACTCTTGTTTATGTTTTAAACATTCTATTGCTGAACAGTCTCGTGCTGAAGTGTCTTCGTGCTTAAGTACACATAGTTAAGTCTTCGTGTTCATCGCTTATCAATCAAATAAATATTAACAAGAATATTTTTCATAAAAATTTACACATAGATTTGCAACAGTTTTGTATCTTCTATTCTAATCATTGGTCATTGAAAAATAAGTTTTCGGGACAACTTTGAATCAATAATCCTATCATGTATTATTTTAGTTGTAAAGATTCTAATTACAAAAAATTTACTCAGAGAAACAAATCAAGTACAAATTAGGAAATAGACAAGTACAATTTTAGAAAAAAAAGAAATATTTATCTAATAAAAGCAGAGTTTTAGGACCTCCCTCTCGCTCACAAAAGGTCAATTTTCTTGAAAAATATAAAAATTGAGATAACCCATGTAAAAAGTTTTGGTTAAAAATTTGCTTAAAAATCGATTAAAACGGCACGATTTTAATCAAATTTTAATCGAATTTTTTAGGCTTGAAGACAGATTTTATTTGATTTTAATCTTTTTTAATCTATTTTAATCGATTAATAAACCTAAATCAACTAAAATCGATTTTGATAATTAGTTTTAACTGATTCAAGCTTATTAATAGATTCAAATAGATTAAAAAAGATTAAAATCAAATAAAATCCGTCTTCAAGCCTAAAAAATCCGATTAAAATCGTGCCATTTTAATCGATTTTTAATCAAATTTTTAATCAAAAATTTTTACATGGGTAAATCCATAGAAAAATAACCCGAAATCTAAACTTTCATAAATATCATGATTCTTTATTTAGCACATCGTTTTCTACAAAAATTCCCGTTATTTTTTACCTGAAAAATATGGCTTTTTCAGATAAAATGGAAAATCTTGTTCGTTTCTTCTCTGTTTATATATCTTTGATCGAGCATCTCAGACTTCTTGAAAGAACTTCATAGTACTCAATGACTTAGTTTTTGTTTGAAAGACCATGCCAAGATGCAAGACATGATAGAGTCCGTTTTTTGAATTAAGCATTGTTACTCGTCTGTAAAATAGTGCTTTTATAATTAGAGTGCCATTTTTTAAGAGCTTTTTGGAGCGTTCAACTTTTTATTCCTGTTTCCCTCTCAAAGATAATAATTAAAAATAGGCTAAATCATACTCTGAGTCCTGATACGTTCTTTCAAACAAAAAAAATAAATCTATAGATTAAAGCCTCAAAAAGAATTCTTTTCAGTTGCCAAATAAACTGTTTTTGACCAGTTGTTAGTTGAATATCTTCTGAAAACATAATGATATGGGACTAAAAATTTTACCAAAGCCTCTCCATTACAATCTCAACATATACTGAAATTTTCGTGCGATTTGAATATACTTGGACCAAGATCAATTTTTGGAAAAGGTCTTAATAAAAAATACCATATAATCTATTGGAATTCAATGTTGAATATTACATAAATACATAAAATTGGAAACAATAGATAAATTATACGACGTGTTCACGATTCAGTAGAATCATAGAGCAATACCTTGACAATGATTTTCTTAGTGAATGTAGGAAACGAAAATTCTCTTTTAACATTTTACTTTACAAAGATTGCGACAGCTATCTCGTTTTTCAATGTCAGTTTTGAAGTATATTGTATCTTATACAAATAATTTTATATCATCATTCAAAACGTTCTTTGAGCTTTACCAACATCAAAGGTCAAGGATATAATTAGGCTCGATTGAACATGGAAGAGCAATTATTAACCAAAGCCACATTTGAGGAGAGATTAAAGAGATAACTTTCTCAAATTTATCTCTCTTCAAAATAATAATTTTATGTCCAAAAACAAGCCATTTTTTTTAGTAAATTCACTCGACTATCTGTAGATGCATTTGATAAATAAAGATGATAAGCTGTATTAATCTATATTTTATCTTTTGATTTTGCATTCATTTGTATAAAAACAAAGCAAATGATCTTGTCGTAAAAAAATATAACAAAGATACATAATTATATTAATTTAAATTATATAAACAAATCATATAAACTTGTTATTTGAATTTTAGCAGTACATTTTCTCGTAAGGTTTACCCCCGTTTCGGTCCGAATCGATCCTTTCGCGTTTTGGTCCCATTTGATAATCTCTCACTTGGGTCCTATCTCATTTGGATCCTTTCTTAATTCGGTCCCATCTCAGTCTGATCCTCTCTCATTTTAGTCTCTTTCTAGTTCGTTCATGATTCATCAAATTAAAAGAACATGATAAGTCTTCTGTCATTTTCATGAGTAGCCGGCTTAAGAATTCATTCTCGAATGGTCATTGGTTGAGCAGAATGCATATAATCGTCCGGCTTAAACCAGATAATGCATAGGCGATCATAGTTAAGAAACATTTATTGAATACAAAAGACGAACAACAAGTAACATGCAATTAACAACTAGACATCGTTATACACTTATACTTGATTAGAAGGTTTTCAATGTGCTATTCAACGAAAGTATTAAAACAGAACCGTATAGCGCTGTCGTGTAAGGCCATACACAACTTCTTGTTCTTCTCAGTGAACATACCAATGGCAGACTGACAGATTTACGATTAGCAACTCAAATCGGTAAAACTCTAAAAACGAAATTTGTGAAGTAAAAACAAAGAAATGTGTTTTTTTATATATGTCAGTTTCTATGAGTTATAAATGTGAATAACTTTTCTATTTAGCTGATTATTCTTTATCATATAAGTTGTTTTCTACTCTATTAAATATAATTATGAGCCAATATATTTGATAATATTGGGATCGAACTGAGAAATCATCAAATGGAACCGAGTTGAGAGGGGACCGAATTCAGATAGGACCCAAGTAGGAGATCATCAAATGGGATCGAAACGCGAAAGGATCGATTAGGACCGAATCGGGGACTCTCCTCTTTAACCTTGAGTTCATATATCTTTTTATTATTCATTCATTAATCACACAATAAATATCACGCATGAAATTTTGGCCAAGTCTTTTCTAATACAAACAATGCTACAACTATTCACGAAGAAACATGAAACTTTGTCTTTTGTGGATTTATCTTGTTACACACGACACAATTTCTTTTCAAAAAAAAATGAAAAAATATTCATTTTCAAATAAAAATCTCGTAT